TGCCATAGGAAGACCCCCAGAGAGAGGGTCAGCAGGGGGGCCTCGCCTGCGCCTCCCCTCCTGTAGCCCCATGGTGGGGCTAGGCTGGGGCTCACCCCCTTCCCCAGCTATTTTATGTCTGTAATTAAATATGTTAAAATAAAGTCATTATCGGAAGTCAGCTTGTCTCTGGATGGTGGAGCCGCAGGAGCTGCCGAGGTTGGGTCACTGCCTGCCTGCTGAGGAGATCCGGAGGGTGGGGAGGCCACGAAGTCCCACTGGCCAGGCTCACCCAGCTCTGGGCTGACAGCCCAAGTGGCCGCTGCCTCTGCCCAGCACCGTGGGCTCCGGGGGAGAGTTCTGTCACCTGGGTGGGGCCGATGAGGCCAGCACTGAGTGGAGCAGAGCGGAAACTGAGGAAGCTCCTCACCCTTTGCCGGCTCCAGCACCAAGCGTGACGGTGCCGCTCCCTGCTCCCTGCTCAGGGTAGGCCCAGCAGTGGTTCTTCACGTCACACGATGAGGCAGGCGGCTCCAGTCATCAAGGGAGACCAAGAGGACCCTTGTCTCACTCCCAGGTGGCTCTTAGTCACAGTTAACGTTGGATCCCATTCAGGCTGCCCCACTAGGCCTTGGTCCTCCAGAGAGATTGTGTTTCTAAGTTTGAGCTCCTCTGGACTCAGCTTTCTCCGGTGATAAGTGGCACTGGGGGATGGTCTAGAGCAAATAACTCCTGCAGGGCCGCGTCCAGGAGTGCTGGGTCCTTTGGAGGCCTCCCAGGCAGACATGAGGCATCTGCGGTCCTGATTGCGCGTAGGTGCTGGGGAGGCGTTCTCTAAGGCCCATCAGCCTGGCAGTGAGTGCACCGCCCTCTGGGGGCAGGTGCGCCGGGGTCCGGAAGCCAAGTACACATGGCTTCAGGAGAACAGGCCCGAGGCCCAGGTGGCCAGTGCCGTTCATTTCCCTGGGAAAGACCAAAGCAGCCACCATGGCTGTCGGGAGGGCGCTTCAGACCTGATGGGAGTCAGCCAGGCGGGCAGCTGTGAGGCTCTCGACTCACTGGGTGTCGGGGTTCCCTGCCGCTGCAGTTCAGGAGGTCTCCCGGGACCCAGAGCAGCCATTATCCTCACAGTTAGGGTCCATTACAGTGAAAAGACAGGGGTGAGAATGAGCGGAGGGAAGAGGCGGGTGTGAGTGTCCTGCTGCCCTCTCCCGTGGAGTCGTGTGGACGGCGCTCATTTTCCGCGTGTGGATGCAACAGCGTACTGGAGTGTGGTCACCTAGGGAAGCTCACCCGGGCCTCTGCATCCAGGGCTTTCTTCAGGGGTTGGTCATGGGGACTGCTCACCCCACATGGTTGACCGTAGCCTCCAGAGAGACCCACAGCCCCCACCCTAAATCACGTCCTTAGCATAGACTATCCACTGTGGCCCAGGGCCCCAGAGAAAAGAGACGTTCCTATCAGGGAGGACACGCCACGGGCTCCCAGGTGACCTCCAGGAGCCAGCCTTTTCTTTAGTCAAGGCTACTCCCGTGCTGCACAGCTGCACAGCAAACACCCTAACCCTCACCGGCTTACACAACGAACGCCTTGCTGTCTTCCTCAGTTCTGTGATTGGCTGGGCTTGGCTGTGCAGGGCGCACCTGAGGGCTGTGGCATTTGTGGTCAGGGGGCATTTGGGGCTGGAGGCATCTGAAGACTCGCCTGGCTGGACTCCATGAGGGCTGACTCCCGTGACTGCAGTTGCTGTGGGCCGTTAGCTGGGCCAGCACTGGGGCGCCTGCGTGTGGCCTCCGTGTGGCCTGAGCTGCTCTCCCCGTGGCAGCTGGGTCCCTCAAGGGAGCATTCAATGTTTATATTTAAATCAACCAACTGCATTCCAGCCGTAGCACTTGCCTCAGCAATGTCCTGCCTCACATTCAATTGTCTCTTTCATTTCCTTCAATCTGCAACGTTTCCTCAGCCCCTCTTTGTCTTTGACATGGACGTTTGTGACGATCACGCTCCTCCCCCTCCCAGAGACTGAAGAGTGCTCCCTGTCTGGCCGCCGTCTCCTCCGCGTCGCGTGTGGCCGGGCTGTCCAGTGGGGGCACCACGGAAGGGACACAGCAGAGGCCCCGTGCTTGTGATGTATGTTGCGGATCATTTTCCCCCATTCTGTCCTTTTTTGTTAAATGGTGGTGAAAAGCACATCACATAAACTCTACCACCTTAACCATTTGAAAGTCTATATCCCAGACTGTCTTTTATCTTTAGACTTCACTTGTGGTTTGTTGCCACGGTACAAGTTTATTTTTATGAAGCCAAATGTATCAGTATTTCTTTAATTGTGCTGGCGTGGGAGTCGGTACTTCTCCCTACACCCGGGTTTCAGGGAAGTTCCCTTGGGTTTCTTCTTTATGTCAAGATCTCTAGTCTATTTGGAGTTCCTTCTTGTATGTGATGTGAGGAATGGGTCTAATTTTATCTTTTTCCAAGTGGCTATTGGAGGAAGTTTTTAAACGAGAAGAGAAATTCAGAAGATGCTGCAAGAGATGGGGTCTTTACGGCAACCGATGTCTCGGTAAAGTCAGAACAAAGAGACTCAGGCACACCCACCAGAAGGACCAGAACTTTGAGCAGATCAGTGCCACAGAGCTGGGCTCAGGGAAACGGAAGGGATATGGGAGGGAGCGAAAGCATTTAATGGGAGAAGGTCTGGGTAAGCCGATAAGTTTTGGGGAATCAAGGGGGATAAATACACGTGAGTAGGGCTCTGAAGTTAGAGGCAATGAATTTAACAAAAAAGAAACAGTAGCTTCCAAAAGGGAGTGTGACCGAGAGACGCCCGTAGAGGCAGGTGATGAACATCCAGGGCTGGCCGGGCACGGGGGCTCACGCCTGTGATCTCAGCACTTGGGAAGGCAGAGGCATGTGGATCGCTGGAGCACAGGAGTCTGCTGAAGTAGGGGACAGCTTACAGTTTGGATCAGGGTCATCAAGCTGGGGACGTGCCAGGTACACGGAGGTGGGGGAGATGCTGGGGGCAGGTGTGGACACTAAGCAATGGTGTCGGAGGCTGCTAGGGAGTCTCAGGGTCTGGCAGGAGCAGATGTGAACTCCCAGGAGTCGTGGACATGAATTAGGGGTCCTAAGAAGCCTCACCACCGACTAAGGAAGCTATGAAGTAAAGACCAGAGAACCTGGGGGAGGGGGAGGTCTTAGATGCTCCCCACCCTATCGACCAGGATGGACCCAGGCATCCACCTAGCTAGATGGAGCAGAGACTCCAAGGCAGGAATGACCCGAGTTCTGTCTCCCTGTCATTCTCTTGGTCCCTTTCATGCTGTCTTCCCCGGCCCCCATCTGTCAATGGCCATGATTAGGTCACAGACCCAAACTCTGGCCACCAGGGCAGGCAGAGAGATGACCTAACCTCCATAACACCAGTGGAGGGGGGTGGGGGCTGCCTCCCACCTATGGGGGGTGTCATTTGCTTGGCAGCCACCCCACCCCTCCTTGCCAGCACCACACCTGGCAGATGGAGAAACTGGGCCCATGGTTCCCTCTGCCCACACCCTCCTGTGGCTCTCATCTCCGTGGTCCAGCAGATGTGGGGAGCCAGGGTGAGGAATTTGGACCCTGGAAAACGTGTGGAAGCAGTTAAAACCTGAAGGGATCAGGAGGGGCAGGGTGGGCACCCATCTCAGGATAAGTCGAGGAGCAGCAGGGTGATTTTCCACGCCTGGCCCCTTGGCTCTGTTCTAAGAGTTGACACGCATTAACATTGCATTCCAACTCAGTCAGACACTTTTCAGATGCCCATTTTGCAGATAAGCAAGTTGAAGTACAGAGAGGTTAAGTTACATACTCAGAGTCACACAACCAGCAAGTGGCAGAACGGGACTTGAGCACCAGCTGACTGGCTGCAGTCTGTGCCCTGAACCAGTTTGCAGTAGCATTGAGCGCTTTACGTGTCAGGCGGTTTGCAGGCACTTAGGGTCTTCGCAACAGCCCTTTGATGCCAAATGCTAAAATAATATCTGGGGAAAAGCTTTTGACCCCTTTTAGCAAACAAAAATTTTATGATGGCAAGAATTTATCCTGCCTGGTTAATCTGATTTTTCCCTTTTTAGTACATGGATGTCCCTAACCTTACCCCTGAATAGAAAACTCACGACTTCCCCCAGAGCTGTGCAGCTCTCAAAGCTTCCCCCCCCCCCCCCCCCCCCCCCTGCCTCTGAACCAGCTTGTAGTAGCACAGCTTTACGTGTCAGGCGGTTTGCAGGCACTGTGGGTCTTCGCAACAGCTCCTTTGATGCCAAATGCTGCACACACATCTGGGGAAAAGTTGACCTCTTTTAGCAAACAAAAATTTTAGTGATGGTAAAGAATTTATCCTGCCTTGGTTAATCTGATTTTTTCCCCTTTAGCATACAGGATGTCTCAACCTTACCCCCTGAATAGAAAACTCACGACTTCCCCCAGAGCTGTGCAGCTCTCAAGCCTCCCCCTCGAGATGGAGTTCGCTCTGTCGCCCAGATGAGGTCAGGGCGCTGATTTCAGCTCACTGAAGCTCTGCCTCCCGGTCTGGGAGCCTCCTGAGTAGCTGGGATTACAGGCGTGTGCCACCATGCCCAGCTAATTTTTGTATTTTTAGTAGAGACGGGGTTTCACCATGTTGGTCAGGCTGGTGTCGAACTCCGGACCTCACGTGATCTGCCCGCCTCTACTGCCCAAAGTGCTGGGATTACAGGTGTGAGTCACTACGCCCGGCCTCAAATCATTTCTGTTAGCGGTCTTTTAAGATTTCTCCACCGGGCGGGGTGGATCACGCCTGTAATCCCAGCACTTTGGGAGACCAAGGCGGGCGGATCAGAGGTCAGGAGTTTAACACCAGCCTGGCCAACCTGGTGAAACCCCGTCTCTACTAAAAATACAAAAACATTAGCTGGGCGTGGTGGCAGGTGCCTGTAATCCCAGCCACTCAGGAGGCTGAGGCAGAATTGCTTGAACCCGGACCCAGGAGGCAGAGGTTACAGTGAGCCGAGATCGCTCCACTGTATTCCAGCCTGGGCTACAGAGCAAGACTCGTCTCAAAAAGAGAAAATTCTCGCTTTTGCGGGTGGCGGCGAGCGCGGAGAGGACGCCATGAAGGCTTCGGGCACCCTACGAGAGTACAAGGTGGTGGGTCGCTGCCTGCGCACCCCCAAATGCCACACACCGCCCCTCTACCGCATGCAAATCTTTGCGCCTAATCATATCGTCGCCAAGTCCCGCTTCTGGTACTTCGTATCTCAGTTAAAGAAGATGAAGAAGTCTTCAGGGGAGACTGTCTACTGTGGGCAGGTGTTTGAGACGCGCCCCCTGCGGGTGAAGAACTTCGGCATCTGGCTGCGCTGTGACTCCCGGAGCGGCACCCACAACACGTACCGGGAGTACCGGAAGCTGACCACTGCGGGTGCTGTCACCCAGTGCTACCAAGACACGGGCGCTCGGCACCGCGCCCGGGCCCACTCCATTCAGATCATGAAGGTGGAGGAGATTGCAGCCAGCAAGTGCCGTCGGCCAGCTGTCAAGCAGTTCCACGACTCCAAGATCAAGTTCCCACTGCCCCACCGGGTCCTGCGCCCTCAGCACAAGCCACGCTTCACCACCAAGAGGCCCAACACCTTCTTCGAGGTGCAGGGCCTTCGCCCGGGTGTGCCCCAAATAAACTCAGAAACGTCCCGGTGGGAAAAAAAAAATTCTCTTGGAACTGTTCTGTGCCTGTCAACTGCATGGCGCTAGGGGGCGCTGCAGCACCACGGTGTTTTATAGTCATTACAACACTCGTCCAGCAGATGGCGGCAAAGTGTTGGGGAAAGAGGATGCCCTTTTGCCAATCCCCATATATTTTTCTGATTTTCATTTGTATGGTATGCAAACATTTCCAATTCTCAAAATTTGGTCTCAGCTACCATTCTAACTATTTGAGGCTTACGCTCCTCTGTTTCCCGTCCACTCTGGGCCGAAGTCTTCCTGTCAGTGAAACAGGGATGTTTAAAGGAGTTTTCTTGGGCCCGTTTCCCAGAGCTGTCCTGATGACCCATTTGGGGCAGTTTCTCTCTTGTTGGGGCGTGGAGCTGCTCTTAAGGCCCTGCCTGCTGGATCCTCAAATAACGAGAGTAATCTATTACTCTCATCGCCACCTCCCTAACAAGCGCCTACAGTACTCGAACTATTCTCCTCACCCTAACAGGATCACCTCGCTTCCCAACCCTAGTAAACATTAACGAAAATAATCCCACCCTACTAAACCCAATCAAACGCCTCACAATGGCTAGTATTATTACTGGATTCCTTATTACTAACAACATCCCCCCAACCTCACCCCCTCAACCAACAAGACCCTACTATCTAAAACTCTCGGCCCTATACGCGACCGCCCTTGGTTTCCTAATAGCCCTGGATCTCACCCTCATAACTAATAAACTAAAAATAAATAACCCATCACAAATATTTAAATTCTCCAACATACTAGGATATTTTCCCACCACAATCCATCGCATAATCCCATATCAAAACCTACTTACAAGTCAAAACTTGGCGCTCCTCCTACTAGACTCAATGTGATTAGAAAAATCTATACCCAAAATAATCACATACACACACATTACCGCCTCCATAGCTGTGACTACTCAAAAAGGCATAATTAAACTCTACTTCCTTTCCTTCCTCATTCCCCTTATCTTAACCCCACTTTTAATAATATAACCTATTGCCCCGAGTAATCTCAATCACAATATACACGCCTACAAACAACGTCCAACCAGCAACCACCACTAACCAACGCCCATAATCATACAAAGCACCTGCACCAATAGAATCCCCTCAGACCAACCCTGATCCCTCTCCCTCAAAAATTACCCAATTCCCTATATTATTAAAATTAACTACCACCACCTCATCAACACTCAAAACCCATAAAACTAACCCTACCTCTATTATTAAGCCCACTAAAAGGCCCCCTAAAACCTCAAACCCCGAACCCGATGTTTCAGGATATTCCTCAATAGCCATCGCTGTAGTATAACCAAAAACAATTATTATACCCCCCAAATAAATTAAAAACAGTATTAAACCTATATAAGCCCCCCCATAACTTAAAATAATCATACAACCAATCACACCACTAACAACCAATGCTAGACCCCCATAAATAGGAGAAGGCTTAAAAGAAAACCCCACAAACCCCATAACCAACAATACACTTAATGTAAATAAAACATATGTCATTGCTTCTGCATGGACTTTAACCATAACCAGTGATACGAAAAACCACCGGTGTACTTCAACTACAAAAACACTAATGATTCCAATACATAAATCCAACCCAATCATAAAAATAGTCAACCACTCCCTCATTGACCTACCCACCCCATCCAATATTTCTATATGATGAAACTTCGGCTCACTCCTCGCATTCTGTCTAATCCTACAAATCATTACAGGATTATTTTTGGCAATACAGTACTCACCAGACACCTCTTCTGCCTTCTCCTCAATCGCACACATCCCTCGAGATGTGAACTACGGCTGAATCATTCGCTATCTCCACGCTAACGGTGCCTCCATGTTCTTTATCTGCCTCTTCCTACACATAGGCCGAGGCCTCTACTATGGCTCATTCCTTCTCCTAAAAACTTGAAATACTGGCATTATACTTCTACTCATAACCATGGCAACAGCTTTTATGGGCTACGTACTCCCATGAGGCCAAATATCATTCTGAGGGGCAACGGTAATTACAAATCTACTATCAGCAATCCCATACATTGCAACCAATCTCGTCCAATGAGTCTGAGGCGGATACTCCATTGATAGTCCTACTCTTACACGATTCTTCACCCTTCACTTTATTCTACCTTTCATTATCACTGCCCTCACAACTGTCCATCTACTATTCCTACACGAAACAGGATCGAATAATCCCTGCGGAATCTCCTCCGACTCAGACAAAATCACCTTTCACCCTTACTACACAATCAAAGATATCCTAGGCCTAGCCCTCCTCCTCCTCATCCTAACAACATTAATACTATTCTCACCTGATCTCCTAAACGACCCAGATAACTACACTCCAGCCAACCCACTAGTCACCCCTCCACATATTAAACCGGAATGATACTTCCTATTCGCATACGCAATCCTACGGTCCGTCCCTAATAAATTAGGGGGCGTACTAGCACTCTTCCTATCCATTCTCATCCTAGCAATCATTCCCATACTCCACAAGTCTAAACAACAAAGCATAATATTCCGCCCACTTAGCCAGTTCCTATTCTGACTCCTAGTTACAACTCTACTAACTCTTACCTGAATCGGAAGCCAACCGGTAAGCCAACCTTTCATTATTATCGGCCAAACAGCATCCGCAGTATATTTTATCACAATTCTAATCCTAATACCACCAGCCTCCTTGATCGAAAACAACCTACTCAAATGAACCTGCCCTTGTAGTATAAACTAATACGCTAGTCTTGTAAACTAGAAATGGGATATATCCCCTAGGACAACTCAGAAAGAAAGTAATCAACTTCACCACCAACACCCAAAACTGGCATTCTAGCTTAAACTACTTTCTGTATTTTATGGTGTACAAGCTCTACAGTACAACCTAAGTACTACCCCATCTTCGTTACCATTATGTAATTTGTGCATTACTGCTAGCCAACATGTCTAATATATAGTACTATATATGCTTAACTGTACATAACACATATCCTTACATATTTACCCAAATCTCTCGAAACACATGCTTACAAACAAGGACTCTAATGAACAACCCAACAGTAGTACATAAAACACTCCCCCAAAGCCTATCCATCACCCCTTGGATACCAACCAAAACAAACACTTATTAACCGTACATAGCACATTAAACCATTAATCGAACATAGCACATATCTATTAAAACCATTCTCTTCACCACAGATGACCCCCCTCACTTAGGAATCCCTTGTTCACCATCCTCCGTGAAATCAATATCCCACACAAGAGTGCTACTCTCCTCGCTCCGGGCCCATAACTCGTGGGGGTAGCTATAAATGAACCGTATCCGGCATCTGGTTCTTACCTCAGGGCCATAGCAATCAAGATCGCCCACACGTTCCCCTTAAATAAGACATCTCGATGGATCACGGGTCTATCACCCTATTAACCAGTCACGGGAGCTCTCCATGCATTTGGTATCTTTTATCTCTGGTCCGCACGCAGCCCCATCGCAGAATGCTGACTCCCACCACATCCCGTCCTGTCGCGCCTGTCTTTGATTCCTAGTCCATACCATTATTAACCGCACCTACGTTCAATATCCTAGCCCCACATGAGCATTAGCAAGGTGTTATTTAATTCATGCTTGTAAGACATATCAATAATCAACTCACGACATTATTCCCACAACATTGCAAAAAATGAAAATTCCGTCAAACCCCGCCACCCCCATCTCTGACCTCCACCTAAACCCACCTTTGCCAAACCCCAAAAACAAAAGTCCTAATCCGCCCGGCCAGAGCTTGTATTTTCATCTTTTAGGTATGCATGCCTCAACTGCCACCTCCTCAACTAATATTTGTTTACTTCACTAACCACTCTTCACACTAACCACCCCCCCCAACCCCAAAGACACCATTTACTATCATACCTACCTCCCCGTCTATGTAGCTTAAACCTACCTAAAGCAAGACACTGAAAATGCCTAGATGGACTCACACGCCCCATGGACAGATAGGTTTGGTCCTAGCCTTTCTATTGACCCTTAGCAAGATTACACATGCAAGCATCTCCGCTCCAGTGAAGACACCCTACAAATCACCATGTCCAAGAGGAGTGAGTATCAAGCGCGCATATGCAGCTCAAGACACTTTGCTCAGCCACGCCCCCACTGGAAACAGCAGTGACAAACCTTTAGCAATAAACGAAAGTTTAACTAAGCTATGCTATATCAAGGGTTGGTTAATTTCGTGCCAGCCACCGCGGCCATACGATTAACCCGAGCCAATAGAGACCGGCGTAGAGAGTGTTTTAGATCTAATCCAATAAAGCTAAACTCTATGTAAACTGTAAAATCCTAGCTAACATAAAATAAACTACGAAAGTGGCTTTAAAATTTCTGAACACACAATAGCTAAGACCCAAACTGGGATTAGATACCCCACTATGCTTAGCCCTAAACCTTAATAGTTAAACAACAAAACTACTCGCCAGAATACTACAAGCAACAGCTTGAAACTCAAAGGACTTGGCGATGCTTCACATCCCCCTAGAGGAGCCTGTTCCATAATCGATAAACCCCGATCCACCTCACCTTCTCTTGCTCAGCCTATATACCGCCATCTTCAGCGAACCCTGATAAAGGTTACAAAGTGAGCGCAAATGCCCTTTCTCGCAAAAACGTTAGGTCAAGGTGTAGCCTATGAGATGGTAAAAAATGGGCTACATTTTCTACCTCAGAAAATTCCACGATAACTCTTATGAAATCTAAGAGTCCAAGGAGGATTTAGCAGTAAATTAAGAATAGAGTGCTTAATTGAACCAGGCCATAAAGCACGCACACACTGCCCGTCACTCCCCTCAGATATACTTAAGAATCATCTTAACTAAACACCCTAATACTTATATAGAGGGGATAAGTCGTAACACGGTAAGTATACTGGAAGGTGCACTTGGATAAATCAAGGCATAGCTTAACATAAAGCATCCGGCCTACACCCGGAAGATCTCAATACCACTCGATTGTCTTGAGCTAATACTAGCCCTAAACACAATTAACACTAATATCAAACTAACATATACTAAATCATTTACCTATATAAAGTATAGGCGATAGAAATTTTAATCTGGCGCTATAGACACAGTACCGTAAGGGAAAGAATAAAAATCGTCTGAGCATAAAACAGCAAGAATTAATCCCTGTACCTTTCGCATAATGGATCAACTAGAAACAATTTCGCAAAGAGAACTAAAGCCAAATCCCCCGAAACCAGACGAGCTACCCGAAAACAGCTAAAAGAGCGCACCCGTCTATGTGGCAAAATAGTGGGAAGATTTGCGGGTAGAGGTGACAAGCCTACCGAGCCTGGTGATAGCTGGTTATCCAAGATAGAATCTTAGTTCAACCTTGAGTTTACCTACAGAACTACTTAATCCCCTTGTAAACTCAATTGTTAGTCTAAAGAGGCACAGCTCTTTAGACACTAGGAAAAAACCTTATATAGAGAATAAAAACCTCAACTATCATAGTTGGCCCAAAAGCAGCCATCAATTAAGAAAGCGTTCAAGCTCAACATCAACCACCTAAAAAACCCCAAACATATAACTGAACTCCTCACATCACATTGGATTAATCTATCACTATATAGAAGCAATAACGTTAGTATAAGTAACATGAACATTTTCTCCACTGCATAAGCCTAAATCAGACCGAAAACTTCACCGATACTTAACAGCTTAGTATTGACAAACATAAACAAGCTCATACTACCTTCACTGTTAATCCAACACAGGCATGCCCCTAAGGAAGGTTAAAAAAAGTAAAAGGAATTCGGCAAACTTAACCCCCGCCTGTTTACCAAAAACATCACCTCTAGCATCACTAGTATTAGAGGCACTGCCTGCCCAGTGACACATGGTTAACGGCCGCGGTACCCTGACCATGCAAAGGTAGCATAATCGCTTGTTCTTTAAATAGGGACTTGCATGAATGGCATCACGAAGGTTTAACTGTCTCTTACTTTTAACCAGTGAAATTGGCCTGTCCGTGAAGAGGCGGACATAGAACAATAAGACGAGAAGACCCTGTGGAGCTTCAATTTATCAGTGCAACTAAAAACTATACAAACCTACAGGCCCTTAAACCTCTATACCTGCACTAAAAATTTTGGTTGGGGTGACCTCGGAGCACAACCAAACCTCCGAATAATCTATGCTAAGACCACACAAGTCAAATCGAACACTTACAATTGACCCAATAAGTTGATCAACGGAACAAGTTACCCCAGGGATAACAGCGCAATTCTATTCTAGAGTTCATATCGACAATAAAGTTTACGACCTCGATGTTGGATCAGGACATCCTAATGGTGCAGCAGCTATCAAGGGTTCGTTTGTTCAACGATTAAAGTTCTACGTGATCTGAGTTCAGACCGGAGCAATCCAGGTCGGTTTCTATCTATTCTACATTTCTCCCTGTACGAAAGGACAAGAGAAATAAGGCCCACTTCACAATAGTGCCCTCACTACATGAATGACTTAATCTCAATTTAGCAAAACACTACAAACCCTGCTCTTCACTACATACCCCACCCAAGAGCAGGGTTTGTTAAGATGGCAGAGCCCGGCAATTGCATAAAATTTAAAACTTTACAACCAGAGGTTCAACTCCTCTTCTTAACATCATGATCACAACAAACTTTCTACTTCTCATTATATCTACACTAATTGCCATAGCATTTCTTACACTTGTTGAACTTGTAGGAGCCATCAACTTCATTACCACCATTATTAACATGAAACCTCCCGCAATATCCCAATATCAAACCCCCCTATTTGTCTGATCAGTCCTAATCACACCAATTCTCCTACTCCTCTCCCTACCAGTCTTGGCCGCCAGCATTACTATGCTACTAACAGATCGCAACCTCAACACCACTTTCTTTGATCCTACTGGAGGAGGGGACCCTATCCTATACCAACACCTATTTTGATTCTTCGGTCACCCTGAAGTCTATATTCTTATTCTCCCTGGATTCGGGATAATTTCCCACATTGTAACTTTCTACTCTGGAAAGAAAGAACCATTTGGGTATATAGGTATAGTCTGGGCCATAATATCAATTGGATTTTTAGGTTTCATTGTATGAGCCCATCACATATTTACAGTTGGTATAGACGTGGATACGCGAGCCTATTTCACCTCTGCCACCATAATTATTGCAATTCCCACTGGGGTTAAAGTTTTTAGCTGACTTGCCACACTTCATGGGGGTAATATCAAGTGATCTCCTGCAATACTTTGAGCCTTAGGCTTTATTTTTCTATTCACCGTAGGAGGCCTCACTGGCATTATCTTAGCAAATTCATCTCTAGATATTGTATTACATGATACATACTACGTTGTCGCCCATTTCCACTATGTTCTATCAATAGGAGCTGTCTTCGCTATTATAGGAGGCTTTATCCATTGGTTCCCTTTACTTTCAGGCTATACATTAGACCAAACTTATGCCAAAGCCCACTTTATTATTATATTCGTAGGTGTAAATTTAACCTTTTTCCCACAACACTTTCTTGGCCTATCCGGAATACCCCGACGCTATTCTGGTTATCCCGATGCTTATACCACATGAAATATTCTATCGTCTATGGGCTCCTTTATTTCACTGGTAGCAGTAATCCTAATAATCTACATGATCTGAGAAGCTTTCGCCTCAAAACGCAAAGTATCAATAATTGAACAGTCCTCCACTAACCTCGAATGATTAAATGGCTGTCCCCCGCCTTATCACACATTTGAAGAACCAGCCTATATTAAACTGAACGAAAAAGGAGAGAGTCGAACCCCCTAAAACTGGTTTCAAGCCAATCCTATAGCCCCTATAACTTTTTCAATGAGGTATTAGAAAAACTATTTCATGGCTTTGTCAAAGCCAAATTATAGGCCAAACCCTATATATCTTATATGGCCCACCCAGTTCAACTAGGTCTACAAGATGCCACATCCCCTGTTATAGAAGAATTAATCACTTTCCACGACTATGCTTTTATAGCTATCGCTTTAATCAGCTTTCTGGTCTTATATGCCCTGTCCTCAACACTCACAACAAAACTAACCAACACCAACATTACAGATGCCCAGGAAATAGAAACTATCTGAACTATCTTACCCACAATCATCCTAGTCCTGATTGCCCTTCCATCTCTATGCATCCTATATCTAACAGACGAAATTAACAACCCTTCCTTTACTATTAAATCAATCGGACACCAATGATACTGAACCTACGAATATACAGATTACGGAGGCCTTATCTTTAACTCTTATATATTACCCCCACTATTCTTAAACCCAGGAGACCTTCGACTTCTAGAAGTTGACAACCGAGTAGTTCTCCCAATTGAAGCCCACGTCCGTATAATAATTACATCCCAAGATGTCTTACACTCATGAACTATCCCCACACTAGGCTTAAAAACAGACGCGGTGCCTGGACGCTTAAATCAAACTACACTCACCGCCATACGACCAGGCGTCTATTATGGACAGTGCTCAGAAATTTGTGGCACCAACCACAGCTTCATACCCATTGTCGCAGAACTAATTCCACTAAAAATTTTCGAAATAGGACCTGTATTTACCCTATAGACACCTCGCCTCCTCCATTCCACTTCACAACTCCTCAAAATACCTTACAGATACACTGCATAGCTATCCTAGCATTAACCTTTTAAGTTAAAGATTGAGGGGTACACCCTCTGCAGCGAATGCCCCAATTAGACACATCCACGTGATTTACCATGATCATAACGATGCTCCCCACACTATATCTTATTATACAATTAAAACTGCTAAACACAAATTACTACCAACCTGTCTTACAAAAAAATTCTAATAAACAAGTCCCCAACAACCACTGACAACTAAAATGAACGAAAATCTATTTACCTCATTCACAACCCCAACAATTCTAAACCAACCTGCTACAATCCCTATCATTCTGTTTCCTATACTACTGATTCCAACTTCCAAATATCTCATTAACAACTGACTAATCACCATTCAACATAACCTAACCCAACTCACTCTAAAGCAAATAATAATAATTCACAACGCTAAAGGACAAACCTGATCTCTAATACTAATATCTTTAATTATCTTTATCACCATAACCAACCTTCTAGGACTTCTACCCCACTCATTTACACCCACCACTCAACTATCTATAAACCTAGCCATAGCGGTCCCCCTGTGAGCAGGCGCAGTAATCACAGGCCTTCGCTTTAAAACCAAAAATTCCCTAGCCCATCTTCTACCACAAGGTACACCGACACTACTTATTCCCATACTAGTAATGATCGAAACCATTAGCCTACTCATTCAACCAATAGCCCTAGCTGTATGCCTGACTGCCAACATTACAGCTGGTCATCTACTAATATACCTGATTGGAAGTGCTATATTAGCACTATTAACTATTAGCTTCTCCGCTACCCTATTAGTTTCCATACTCCTAACACTACTTACTACTCTAGAAATTGCAGTTGCTCTAATTCAAGCCTACGTTTTCACACTTCTGATTAGCCTCTACCTACACAACAACACCTGATGACTCACCAATTCCATGCCTATCACATAGTCAAACCTAGCCCCTGACCACTAACAGGAGCTCTATCAGCCCTCCTAATAACATCTGGCTTAGCCATATGATTTCACTTCTACTCTACCACTCTATTAATACTAGCCCTACTAACCACCACACTAACCCTATACCAATGGTGACGCAACATTGTACGAGAAAGTACCTATCAAGGTCATCA